AGCCCCAGGAAAATGAGATGTTCTTGTTCACTTTTGTGTGAAAACTATAGAACAATGTTCTGTTGTAGGCCTGATCGCAAGGACCAGATGTTGACAGCCCTGATGTAAGGAGCTTTCCTTATGGGAGCAGTTACCTGAGTGATTTAACTGGCACAGAAGCTTGTGACATATGCATCTCTAGGAGGTGACTGAGGAACAAACAGCCTCTTCCCTCAAACAGAAGGGCACCAAAAGCTGAAGTCATCATCATCCTCCAAGCCTTACAGTCACTGTAGAAATGGGTGCAGAGAGCCTCAAAACAGTCAAAAGTAGAAATTTCATTTACACAGCTCTTCCCCACTTAGGGATCTCTGTGAAGAGTGGAGACAATGATGTGTGCATATCTGTGCTTACAGCAGCACACTTCACAGTAGCTGAATCGGAGCCAGGGGGATGGCTCGGTGGAATAAGTACTTCCCTGGCAAGCGCAAGGGCCTGAGTTCAATACCCAGTTCCACAAAAAAAAAAAAAAAAAAAAAAAAGGCATAGTAGCTGAATCTTGGAGCCACCCTGTATGTCCATCAGCAGAGGGAAAAGTACAATCTATACACAAGTCCTCTACCAAAGAGAAGTCATTTTGGGAAAAAGAATGTACTTTGAGATTATGCTAAGGTACAAAATCAGACACATGAACATGAATATTATAGGATTTCTCATAGAAGAAAGTTAGAATACAAAAAAGAGCACCAAAAAGACAGATTACAGTCACCAGGAGGAAAGAGCTTTGGTCAATTGTGAGGAGACCAAGAGATGGATGAAGGTGGGAGCAGAAGGTAGGACTATGGATAAGAATTAATGTCTCCCTTGATATCTTCATCTTATTCTATCTATCTGTCTGTCTGTTTATCTATCTGTCTATCTATCTACTATCTGTCTATCATCTATATGCTCACTGGGAATGAAATGGTTTTTCACCATAAACTTGTACTAATAAGTAAAAAGACTGCAAATGCTGGGATCCAGTCCAAGTTCCCCAAGTGGTCCACACCAGCATTCCCTTGAAAACCCGTAATGCTTTATTCCTTTTTGACCCTTCATACCAAATTCCTCAGAATATTGTAGCTCTATAAATTGGCCTAATAAAGTGCAGCAACCTGATCCTAAGACAAAAGAGCTCATTGAAAGAATTCAAAAAATGCTTATTAACATGTTATCAAAGCATGGGCCAAGCACCAGGGAGATGCTCAGTAGAATAAGTGCTTGCCTGGCAAGCGCAAGGGCTTGAGTTGAATCCCTGGTTCTGCAAAACAAAACAAAAAAAGAAAAAACAGTTTTTTTTGTTTTGGTTTTTTTTTTTTAGAAAAAGCATGGGCAAGTGAGATAGGTAGGCAAGCACAAGGAAGCACCTTAGGCAATCACAGGGACCGGGGTTCGATACCTAGCACCACATGTGTGCCAGCCCCGCCCCAGGTGTGCTCAGCCTGCAGGGGAGTCTGGGTGTGGTGGCACACACTTGTAATATCAGCACTGGGGAGGCTGAAATTAGGAGTATCACTGCCAGTTAGAGCTGAGTAGTGAGACCCTGTACAAAAACAAGCAAACAAATTAATACAAAACAATTTTAAAAAACCCCAAAGAACATGTTACCAAAGGAAAAAGTGAACTCATTCTTATAAAATGGGCAGTTCCTTTTGGAAATGTTGGGCCATCTTTTCTTGGAGTTTCCACCAACTCAAGAGGAGCATGAATGTTTTCACTGCCAGGAAGTAGTGCAGCTCACTGCCCAACGCCCACACCCTACTCCTGAGCATGTACTGTTACAATTCTGCCTGGTAAATCCTTTCGAGGAATCTCCCTGACAGTCTAAATCTTCCATTTCAGGGACAGCCGTCAGTGTGAACGTCCAAACTTTTCTGCATGTCCTGGGTTCATCTTTATTCCCTCTCCCAGGTATGACCTGCAGGACTGGTGGTCATGCAGGATAAGACGTGCCCAAGGCTTGCCACCTCACTCTGATGCACAGCACTGGACAGGTAGATGTTGCAATTGGTCACACTGGTTGGCACACACTAGAGGTCTCTGTGTCCTCCCTCCTAACTCTCTGCCCCTTTCTTCTCCTAACCAGGACAGCCTTCAGTCTGGGCAGAGAATCCCCCTTTGGCCACTTTCCTCCCAGGAGAGCTGATGCTGAGAGGTGTGGAACTCCGGTGAGCGTGAATTCCAGACCCCTGTGTGGGGTGTGGGGGGGAATTGAGGCTTCTCTCAACCTCAATCACCTTGTTTGACTTTGTCACCCTCTTCATCCCCAAATCATAAAAACAACATGTAAAGAGGTCCCCGGGCTTTGCTGTGTGCATCTTGGGTGCCTGTGCTGTGGTGATTTCTGCAGCTGCGTGTGCCTCGGGGCCCAGGTGAGGGCGGCATGGGAGAGAGCCCTGCAGGCAGCTTCCTTTCCGCCAGCAAACCTGAGGAGATGGCCTGGCCTTGAGCCCCTTTTCCCACACAGTGACCTCATTCTAACTGCTGTGCAGCCACAAAACCATCATCTTCTGGCCCTGTGCCCCGCTGGCCATCCAGCCTCTCCTGTGTCTCCCTCTTCAACTTAGGAGCCAGGAGTCACCCAGCCCAGCACTACCTCCAGCAACATGGAGCTGAACCTTCAATGAATCTTTCAAAAAGGCCCAGCACCCCTGAGCTTGAGGCAGGATTCCAGCTCAAGTCAGCCCAGTCTGCATAGAGAGGCCCTGTTTTTAAAATGAAGCCAGGCGCAGAGGCACAGGCCTGGTATCCCAACACTGGGAGGCTGAGGCAGGAGGATTGCATGTCCGAGCCTGGACTGGGATGCTAGTAACACAATAAGTCATTTTATTATTGTCTCAAAATTATAGAAAATATAAAATAAGGGCAGGATATGCAGCTCTGTGTAAAGGAGTGATTTCATTTTCTGTATGACATAAAAGAAGAAGGAAAAAGACAAGAACAAACAATCTCTAGATCAGGTCTTTTCTTGGCCTGTGTCACCTCCATCAATATTTTCACCATGAAGTTTTTCTCTAAGTGTGAAAGGAGGGACTGGAGAGATGGCTCAGTGGTCTAAAGCACCTACTTGGAACAAGCTTGGCAAAGCACAGGGACTGCGGTTCAATCCCCCAGCACCACATGCCAGCCGGCCGCGCCCCCTGGTGGGGCTCTTGTTGTGAACTTCTTATACATTTAAAAAAAAAAAATTCAAAAAAATGACTAAAGGATTAGGGATCATTGGGGATAGTTGGCATATTTGTAATCTCTGTCAGTGGGAGACTGGGAGTAAGGACAGGAGGACTGTGCCTTTGAGGCCAAAGTAAGCCAAATTTAGTCCTAATCTTTTAAAAAATAAATAAAAACAAAAAATTTTGGTTGTATGATGGTCTTTTTCTGATTTAATTCCAGCAGCCTGACAACGCAAAGAATAAAAGACAAAGGATGGCTGGGGAGATAGCTCAGCAGAATAAGTGCTTGCCTGGCAAGTGCAAGGTCCTGAGTCCAATCCCCAGTACCGCAAAAAAAAAAAAA